CCACCATGCCCGGCTAATTTTTTCTGTATGTATTAGTTGGCCAATTAATTTTCTTTTTATTTATAGTAGAGACAGGGTCTCGCTCTTGTTCAGGCTGGTTTTGAACTCCTGACCTCGAGCAATCCACCCGCCTCGGCCTCCCAGAGTGCTAGGATTACAGGCGTGAGCCACTGCGCCCGGCCCATATGTAGTTTTTAAAAATTATTTTTATTATGGTAAAATATAACATAAAATTTGTCATTTTAATTCTTTTTTTTAAGAGATTGGGTCTCACTACATTGCCCAAGCTGGCCTCAAACTCCTGGGGTCAAGTGATCCTCCCACCTTAGCCTCCTGAGTAGCTGGGACGACAGGCTGGGTACCACTGCACCCAGCTCATTTTAACCATTTTAAGAGTACAATTCAGTGGCACTAATTACATTCACAGTATTGTGTAACCATCACCACTACCTAGTTCCAAAACTTTATCTCCCCAAACAGAAACTGTGTAACCATTAAGCAATAACTCCTCATACTCTTTTCCCCTCATCCTTTGGTAACCTCTATTCTACCTTCTGTCTCTATGAATTTGCCTATTCTAGATATTTCATGTAAGTGGAATCATATAATATTTGTCCTGTTTAATTCACTTAGCATGAGGTTTTCAAGGTTCATCCATGTTGCAGCATGTATCAGAACTTCATCCCTTTTTTACAGCTGAATAATAGTCTACTGTATATATATATACCACATTTTGTTTATCTATACCTCTATAGACAGACACTTGGTACTTACATAAGGATGGACATACATTCCAGATGTATGGGATTACTTCTGGACTCTCAATTTATTCCACTGGTCTATATGTCCATCCTTATTCAAGAACCACAGTGTTTGGATTACCATAGGTTTTTTTTAAAAAAATGGAAATTCTCTTATCTTCTAATGTAGTAAGTTTTAAAATCATGAAGAATGACCGGGCAAGAGTGCAGTGGCATCAGCCTAGCTCAAAGCAACCTCAAATTCCTGGGCTCAAGCGATGATCCTCCTGCCTCAGCCTCCCGAGTAGCTGGGACTACAGATGTGTGCCACCATGCCCAGCTAATCTTTTCTATTTTTAGTAGAAATGGAGTCTCATTTTTGCTCAGGCTGGTCTCAAACTCCTGACCTCAAGCAATCCTCTCGACTTGGTCTCCCAGAGTGCTAGGATTAAGGCATGAGCCACCACGCCCCACCCCCTTCATTCCATTAATGTGATACATTATATTAATTGATTTTCTAATGTTGAACCACCTTTGAATCCTAGCATAAATCCCACACGGTCACAGAGTATAATCCTTTTAATATGCTATTGGATTTGCCTTGCTAGTATTTTGTTGAGGATTTTATTAACAGCTTCTATATTCATAAAGGATATTGGTCTGTAGTTTTCTTGTACTTTCTTTATCTGGCTGTGGTATCAGGATAATGCTAGCCTCATATAATGAGTTAGAAAGTAATCCCTTCTCTTCTATTTTTTTGGAAGAGTTTTAGAATGATTGGTGTTAACTCTTCTTTAAATGTTTTGTATAATTCACCAGTTAAACTGTCTGATCCTGGACTTTTCTTTGTTGGGAGGTTTTTGATTACTGATCAATCTCTTATATAGGTCTGTTGGGATTTTCTATTTCTTCTTGAATAGGTTTTGGTAATTTCTGTGTTTCTTGGAATTTGTCCATTTCATGTAAGTTATCTAATTTGTTGGCTGACAACTGGTCACAGTATTCTTATCCCTTTTATTAATATAGGGTCAATATACTGTCCCCACTTTCATTTCTGATTTGTCTTGTCGGTTTAGCTAAAAGTTTGTTAATTTTGTTAATATTTTCAAAGAGCCAATAAAACTTTTGGTTTTATTGACTGTATTGTTTTTCTATTTTATTTATTTACCCTCTAATCTTTATTACTGCTTTCCTTCTGTTAGCTTTAGGTTTAGTTTGCTCTTTTTCTAGTTCAAGTCATAAAGTTAGATAAAGTTAAAATCATAACTGATTTAGATCTTTCTTATTTCTTACTGTAGGCATTTACAACTATAAATTTCCCTCAAGCACTGCCTTCACTGAATCCCATAAATTTTGGCATGCTATATTTTCATTTTCATTAGTCTCTATGTATTTTCTAATTTTCCTTGTGGTTTCTTCTTTGACCCACTGGTTAAATGTGTGTTGTTTTGTTATAATTTCCACAAATGTGTGAATTTCCTGTTTTCTTTCTGCTATTAATTACTAGCTTCATTCCATTGTGGTCAGAAAAGATACTTTGCATGATTTTAGTCTTTTAAAATTTACTGAGACTTGTTCTATGCCCTAACCTAGGGCACTAAAGAATGTTCCAGGCCGGGCGCGGTGGCTCACGCCTGTAATCCTAGCTCTCTGGGAGGCCGAGGCGGGCGGATTGCTCGAGGTCAGGAGTTTGAAACCAGCCTGAGCAAGAGTGAGACCCCGTCTCTACTATAAATAGAAAGAAATTAATTGGCCAACTAATATATACAAAAAATTAGCCGGGCATGGTGGCGAATGCCTGTAGTCCCAGCTACCTGGGAGGCTGAGGCAGGAGGATTGCTTGAGCCAGGAGTTTGAGGTTGCTGTGAGCGAGGCTGATGCCACGGCACTCACTCTAGCCTGGGCAACAAAGCAAGACTCTGTCTCAAAAAAAAAAAGAATGTTCCATGTGTACTTAAGAAGGATATATATTCTGCTATTGTTGGGTGGAGTGTTTTATATATGCCCATTAGGTCTAGCTGGTTTATAGTATTATTTAAGTCCTCCATACCCTTATTGATCTTCTATTTAGATGTTCTATCCATTATTGTAAGCGGGGTATTGAAGACTCCAACTATCATTACAGAACTATTTCTCGCTTCAACTCTGTCAATGTTTGCATTATATTTTGGAGATCTATTATTTGGTCATATCCATATGTACCTTTAGAGGTAATTTTTCTGCTTGATTTCTAATATTTAGTTGAACATAAAAAAATGTATTCAATTTATTAAATACCACTTAACAACCCCTTTGTAAAATTTATACCCTACTTTACTTTCAACACAATATCTTCTCAAAAAAACCAACGAAAAATAACCTGAAACCCTAGACATAGATAAAACTTTTATTTTATATTATAAATATCTAATTTCTTATTCATTAAATCTAATTAGTAAAATATAGGGCACATATTTTTTAAATGCAAACTGGCCATATTTAATGTAAGCTCAATTATTTGAGTTTTTAATGTAAAACTGTGGTACTTTAGATTAATAAATTCACTTTTTAAAATTGCTCCAAAATACACAATCACAACTAAATACACCATGTATACTATTAGGGAAAGGAGAGAAAATGAGTTAGTAATAAGAAAATCTAGACATTCTCATTCTTTTTCCTACTCCCAAATATTAGAAAATTCTTTTTAAATTCAATCCAAGAAAATATTATTACTTCTTACAAAGAGAACAACTCTAAAAGAAACTAAGTATAGTAAATATTACCTCATTTTTTTCTTGCTTAGCTGGTCCTGGATTCTGTGCTCCATTTGCAGGCTCTTTTTCTGAAACTAAACTCTGGCCCAAGATTTCACTGCTGATAGGCCGCTGTGCCTCAACAGGTGTATCACTTCTTCCAGAAAGGTGCAGAAGACCAAAAAGGTAGAGGTGGGTATAAAGGAAAATATGTTTTAGTTAGAGGATTTTATAAGTTTTTTTTTTTTTGGCGACAGAGTCTTACTCTGTTGCCCACGCTAGAGTGCCGCCCAGCATCAGCCTAGCAACCTCAAACTCCTGGGCTCAAGCAATCCTACTGCCTCAGCCTCCTGAGTAGCTATACAGGCATGCACCACCATGTCCAGCTAATTTTTTATATATATATATTTTTAGTTGTCTAGCCAATTTCTTTCTATTTTTTTTAGTAGAGATAGTGTCTCACTCTTGCTCAGGCTGGTCTCGAACTCAAATGATCCGAGCTCAAATGATCCGAGCTCAAATGATCCGCCCACCTTGGCCTCCCAGAGTGCTAGGATTACAGGCGTGAGCCACCATGCCTAGCCCAATTTCAAATTTTCTTGCTACTCTATTCAAAAATTTTAATAACTAACTTCATCTGAAGATGATATATCCCAGAGACATTTATACAGATTACCATGTGAACAACTACAAAAGTAAAATGATCTTTGCCTTCAAGGAATTTGATTATGAGATGGCCTCATAATGGCCTCTCCAGGCAGAAATATGTACGACATATCAAAATATAGGTCTAGGGCTCACGAAAACAGAGCTGGATAGTCATCTTCACAAAGGCACTATTAGGTAGGAGCCTGTACTCCTAAGTACCTAAGTATACCTATATGCACACATCTAGAGGAGAAAGTAAAAGGACCTCTGAATAGTTTTTAGCTACCAGACTGTAAATTACTAATGACCATAAGCCCCGTTTTAAATAGAATCTGTAAGAGTTATTAACTGTTAGAATAAAATGATCTTCATAAAGTAACATTTCAATTAATTGTGTAATATATATAGAACTTCCATATGCATTCTCATATGGAAGAGATTTGTACAATAATTTGTACAATAATCTGTGAAATAAGCTATAACTACCATTTCATAGAAAGGAAACAGACTACAAAGACCAGTGATTTTCCTAAAATTGCATAGCATGAAAATGGAGCTGAAATGTGAACTCAGTCTTCAAACTCCAAATCCAATGCTGGCCCACAATTGAGATACTTCAATTTTGAGATCATTACAACCTTACATATTTCAACTGATTTTTCTCTCTTTTGAATTTGTTTCTGTTCAAGTGAAAAGATATCCTTACAAAATATCACACTCTCCCTTATAAACATATCTTTCATCTTTTATCTTTTTATATTATTAATTTATTTCTTATTTTTATATTTTCTTTGCTTTTTATATACACAACCTAGAGATGTGGTATGACATGTTTTATCTTCTTGTGCACTGCAGCTCAATCATTGTATCCCAGTATATAGCATGACGTTAACACACAGTAAACACTCAAATATTTTTTAAATGGATACTAACTTCAAACAAGTATTACCACAAGTAGGAATTTCTTTATGTGGCATCTTTAACATAATTTATCTAACTGAGCTTCCTAATATTTTTTAATTACACCAAAAATATTTTTTTAAATAACTGTTCCAAAGTAAATTTTTTTTTTTTTTTTTTTGAGAGAGTGTCTGACTCTGTTGCCCAGGCTAGAGTGTAGTGGTGTCATCATAGCTCAGTGCAACCTCGAATTATTGGGCTCAAGTGATCGTCCTGCCTCAGCCTCCTGAGTAGCTGGGACTACAGGTGCACCATTATCACACCAGACTAATTTTTTATTTTTTGTAGAGATGGGGTCTCACTATGTTGCTCAGGCTGGTCTCCAACTCCTGACCTCAAGTGATCCTCCCACCTCCACCTCCCAAAGTGCTGGGATTCCAGCCGTGAGCCACAAAACCCAGACCAAAGTAAATTTTTATACTTGATCCATAGCACAATAGCCCTTCCACAGCATTTCATTAGCAGTCCTTTTGACACATTGTCCTTATCAAGGCTATGAACTCTGAAGGGAAGAAATTTACATTGTGAGCACCAATCACATGCTTGCCACTCTGCAAGGAGCTTTATCTCATTTTGCAAGTCAACACCCTATTTTACAGAGGAGGATAATTGAGGCTCAGAGAGATTAAGTAGGCTTCCCAAGGTCACACAGGAAGTATTAACAAATTGCACAGCTACTGTTCAGACCCAAGTCTGACTTAAAAGACAATGTTCTATTCATTATTCCACACTGCTTTGCCTCATAAATTTTCTAATTTCAGAGGCATGACAGATATTTTCTGGATTACTGCTACTACTTAGCTAATAACACATGTATTACTTACTTCTTAAGTACATGTCACATTTATCTTTTTTTTTTTTCGGCATATTATGGAGGTACAGATTTTAAGGTTTCAATAAATGCCCTTTCCCCCCCTCCCCCCACAAGTCTGAGTTTCCAGCAAGACCATCCCCCAGATGGTGCACATCTCACTCATTATGTATGTATATACCCGTCCCACTCCCCCTCCCACCTGCCCAATACCCTATTACTGTAGTACCTATGTGTCCACTTAGGTGCTGCTCAGTTAACACCAGTTTGCTGGTGAGTATATGTGGTGCTTGTTTTTCCATTCTTGGGATACTTCACTTAGTAGTATGGGTTCCAGCTCTAACCAGGAAAATATAAGATGTGCCATATCACCATTGTTTCTTAGAGCTGAAACATTTATCTTAATTACATGTCACATTTTACCTCTCTGCTTTTTCTATAATGGTCTAACAACTTACACTCCACTTCTTTCCATCTTTATACAGACATTTCTCAACTTCTACTTTCCTTTTTTTTTTTTTGGAGACAGAGTCTCACTTTGTTGCCCAGGCTAGAGTGAGTGCCATGGCGTCAGCCTGGCTCACAGCAACCTCAATCTCCGGGGCTCAGCGATCCTACTGCCTCAGCCTCCCGAGTAGCTAGGACTAGAGGCATGCGCCACCACGCCCGGCTAATTTTTTGTATATATATTTTTAGTTGGTCAATTAATTTGTTTCTATTTTTGATAGAGACGGGGTCTCGCTCAGGCTGGTTTCGAACTCCTGACCTTGAGCAATCCGCCTGCCTCGGCCTCCCAAAGTGCTAGGATTACAGGCGTGAGCCACCACACCCGGCCTAACTTCTACTTTATTTAGGAAACAGCACATGTACAGTCAAATTTGGCTGGATTTTTATGAATCTTTTCTCTCTATAAAGACAACACTATAATGCACAAGTCCAGATGACATGCTATTCAAATACTGATGAAGAAGCTTCTGTCACCTTACATACATAGAGGAATAGCAGCAGCTCTCCCAAAATTGAAGCCCAGCAACCCAATGAGAATTTTTCAAAAAACGTTAGTAAATCTAACAAAAGTTTAAAATAGTCTCTACCAATGCTCAAGACTCCCTATTCCTTTGAGATTTAAATAGGACACTCCTGTATGAAATCATACTTCTTCATTTTCATCACTAACTATCATCTTTATCTTTCAAAGATGAAATATGGAGCAACAAAGTACTTTAAGAACTCACCCTATCTTTCAAGAGTCCCTCACTTAGACAATCCACATTAGTGGCCCTTTTCTTTAAAGAACTTTAAAGAAAGCATCACAACTTCTCTCCTCTACGATCTCACAGCAATTTAACATAAAATGATTCCCTACATATTTACCCTGTATTTCTTATGCCTTAACCAAAGATCTCCACTTGCTCCAATTAGAAACAGAAATTCTGAATCCAGTGAACCTTCCTTTGCAAAGAATGCTTCCAACTATTCTGTATAAGAAAAGGTTTAGTTTTTGTGCTCTCTCATGAAATACATTTATTGCAGTTAATATTAATAATTCATAGTACCAACTCTGTGTTATAGGAAACCATTCATATGTCTACGATGTGTTTACTGGAAAAGAAAGGCAGAAAGTTTCCTAACCCCAAAATGAACTGCTGATTGGGAAATTGTTATTTCATGCTAGGTTTGAAGGAAAAACTTAAGTGGCTTTAACAATTATTTCCTTCATATATTTAAAGAATCTATAAAAAAAAAGGTAAGTGGAAATTATCAGTCTTATGTATACAATTGTTTATTACGTTACTATGTACAGGAGAAAAAAGTAGAAACAACCAGTATTCTACAATAAGGAATTAGTTAAATTTATGATATAGTCATACAATGAAATACTGCATACTTATCATTAATCACTGATCTCAAGAAATGTTTAAGAATATGGAAAATAAGCCAGATGCAGTGGCTCACAATTGAAATCCCTGCACTTTGGGAGGCCAAGGGAAGAGGATTGCCTGAGGTCAGGAGTTCAAGACAGCCTGGGCAATGTAGCGAGACCTTGTCTCTACAAAAAAACTTCAAAAATTAGCCAGGCAGGGTGGCATGTGCCTGTAGTTCCAGCTACTCAGGAGGCTGAGGTGGTAGGATTGCTGGGACTCTGGAGCTTGAGGCTGCAGCGAGCTACGGTCATGCCACTGCACTCCAGCCTGGGCAACAGAGCGAAGCTGTCTCTATTAAAAAAAATAAGTTAAATAAACACATATTTTCCCTTATTTTAATTATCAAAATTTTAAAACCCTTTCTAATGTTTTAAGGACTTTCAACTAAAGGGACTTGAACATTAAGAAAGCATACATACACATTACAATGAGATTATCTCAGTCATATGCAGATTCACTAATTTTTCTGAGCAAATTACTTACCGCTCAGGGGATTCTTCATAAATACTGTGACATTCTGTATTCTCAAGCATGAGACTTCTACTGAGGTTTTGAACCCCTGGATAATGGAAGTTAGCAAAGGAGTGTGACATTGGAGAAGTTTTGTTTCCAAGGTCTGAAATTCTCTTATCATGACTGGTTAGTCCACAAGTGAGGCCATCTAAAGCAGGATTCAGAGAGCGGGTCATATAGGCATCAGCTGATTGAGGTCTTCTCATTGGAGATGATGGATAAGGAGAAAGTTTGCTGATAAGAGGAGTCAAAAGATCAGCATATGCAGCTTTTGTAGGTTTCAGAAGTTTATCAACATGAATATTAAGCATTTTCTGTTCAAAAGCACAAGAGAACACAGAAGATGGGAGATTCTGAAGCCAGGACAATAAACTCAGATCCAAATCATCACAACCATTACCACATAAGAGGTCAATGCCAAGAAGTACTTCACTTTCTGTAATTTCTTCTCCAGTTGCTTTACTCTGACAAAATTCTACACAGCATTCGTAAAGTAGGCCTTTCATTACAAGCTGAAATAAACGATTGTTACTTGCTTTAAAACCAGCCTCACTCAGCTTCCTATCAGCAGGGATGAATTCTGCAACCATGACACAAGCCTCTTCAAAACAGTGAACTCGTGCAGTGCTGGGATTCCAGTCCTTAAATTCGGCATGATTGGTCAGACGAGGCAAAGTCAAAAGCAAACAGAGCTTACTATAGTCATCTTTAGAAGGACAGTACTCTTCTAGAGCATGTAAACATTGCACAGCTTCTTGCATGGTAAATTCCAGCTATAAGAAAAATACAAATGATCATCATGAAAAGAGATGCTGTGAGATACAAAAACAATAAAAGCATAAAGGATAAATTCTAGTGCCACAAAATACTCATATAATTTGTAGGATATGTTAACAACTTTTAAGTTGGGAACCAAAATGTTTTTGCAACTAAAAAAGAATAAAAATTTGGTTAATTAGTACATTAAAATTTTATCTATAAAAATAGTGTTCTAGACCAGCCATGGTGGCTCATGCCTATAATCCTAGCACTCTGGAAGGCCAAGGCGGGAGGATCGCTTGAGCTCAGGAGTTCATGACCAGCCTGAGCAACAGTGAGACCCTGTTTCAACCAAAAATAGAAAAAATTAACTGGGCATGGTGGCACACAGCTATATTCCCAGCTACTCTGGAGGCTGAGGCAAGAGGATTGCTTGAGCCCAGGAGTTTGGGATTGCAGTGAGCTATGATGACACCACTGCACTCTAGCCTGGGTAAAAGAGCGAGACTTTGTGTCAAAAAAAAAAAAAAAGTGTGTTAGTTCAGGCTTAAGATTATTATTTTTAGGCTGGGCGTGGTGGCTCACGCCTGTAATCCTAGCACTCTGGGAGGTCGAGGAGGGAGGATTGCTTGAGGTCAGGAGTTCGAGACCAGCCTGAGCAAGAGCGAGACTCTGTCTCTACTAAAAATACAAAGAAATTATCTGGACAACTAAAAATATATATAGAAAAAATTAGCCAGGCATGGTGGTATATGCCTGTAGTCTCAGCTACTCGGGATGCTGAGGCAGGAGGATCACTTGAGCTCAGGAGTTTCAGGTTGCTGTGAGTGGGGCTGACGACACAGCACTCCAGCCCAGGCAACAGAGCAAGACTCTGTTTCAAAAACAAACAAACAATCTGGGGGATGGTCATGATGGAGACTCAGACTTTTGGGGGGAGGGGGGGAAATGGGCATTTATTGAAACCTTAAAATCTGTACCCCCATAATATGCCAAAATAAAAAAAATAATTAAAAAAAAATAGGTAAATATTGCAAAAAAACAAACAAACAAACAAACAAACAAAAAAAAACAAGAGAGCATCTACAGTTGATTTACTATAAAAACAATCCAGCTGGGCGCGGTGGCTCACGCCTGTAATCCTAGCTCTCTGGGAGGCCGAGGCGGGCAGATTGCTCGAGGTCGGGAGTTCAAAACCAGCCTGAGCAAGAGCGAGACCCCGTCTCTACTATAAATAGAAAGAAACTAATTGGCCAACTAATATATATAGAAAAAATTAGCCAGGCATGGTGGCGCATGCCTGTAGTCCCAGCTACTTGGGAGGCTGAGACAGAAGGATCGCTTGAGCCCAGGAGTCTGAGGTTGCTGTGAGCTAGGCTGACGCCACGGCACTCACTCTAGCCTAGGCAACAAAGTGAGACTCTGTCTCAAAAAAAAAAAAAAAAAAAACAATCCAGAGACATCACAAAAGGAAGCTTACCTGAAAGACAAACTAAAATAATTTGTATAATATAATGAATACTGTTTTAGAATCATACTTTTATAGATAAGGAATGTTAGAGCTTACCTAGTCTAGCTTCCATATCTTACATATGAGAAAAGTTAGAATGTCGATTTAACCAAAGTACTTCAGTTGAATAGAGACAAAGACAGAATGAAAATTAGGTCTTCTGACTCATGTTCCAGTGTTCTTTTCACTTTGAACATCTGATCTAGCAAACATTTCTTTATTATATATGAAAGTCCTCACTGTAATATCCTTTGGTTTGTGCTATGGTTTGAATGTCTGTGTTCCCCCAAAATGTATATGTTGAAATCCTAACCCCCAAAGTAATGGTAGAAGAGTGGAGCCTTTGGGAGGTGATTAGATCATGAGGGCTTAGCCCTCATGTATGGGACTAGCACCCCTAAAATAGAGACCCCAAGGAGCTAGCTAGCCTCTTCCACCATATGAGGACACAGCTACAAGGTGCCATCCATGAACCAGAGAGTAAGTGCTCACCAGACACTAAATCTGCTGGCACCATGATCTTGGAATTCCTGGCTTCCAAAACTATGAGAAATAAATTTCTGTCATTTATAAGCCACCCAGTTTATGATATTTTTGTTACAGCATCCTGAATGGACTAAGACAGTTTATGTTAGTAAACACTTATTAGAACTTAATAAAAGCTTTCTTGGTTTTGGATGTGACAATACTAATATCAAAACTTTAAAAGAAACATTCTAATCAAAATGAACTTAATATCATTAAATTTAAATAGTTATGAAGACAAACATTTCAGCAAAAACTACCTCTCGATCAAAGAAAATACAAAGAAGAGATAAATAGAAAGGAGGTAAACATAATCAACTCACCTCTGGGATAAGAAAAGAAGCAACGATGGAGAGTTATCAAGTCAAATATCTATTGCTATCTACCTTAACTTAAACAAGAGAGGAGCACACACTCTTCAACTGGCTAGCTATTCATATATCATCTTGACTTAAATCACAAGAATAGCACTCCATACTGAAGAAAATACTATATCTGAAAAACAGTGTAACTTGCCCCATCCCAACTTATAAAACCTTTGAAAATTCATGATACTAATCTTTTGTTTTAGTGAAAAAATACTTATAACTGAAAACAAGACTATGGCGCAAACCTTCAGGAATAAAAATCTTACATGCTGGGGCTCATCTTCTGCTGACATTGCATTGTTAACACATAATGCTTCTAAAAACTTCTGCTTCAGGATAATATAACGAAACCTGTGAACATAAAATATAAAACATTAAAATGATTAAAAATCCAAGTGGTCATGTTTCCAAAAAAAAAAAAAAAAGAAAAAAAAATAAAATGATTAAAAAGCTGAATGACAGCAATGTCAAACACTGGAAATGAAACTCAAGTTTCTGAAGCAAAACAGGCCAAGTTTGTTTTAAAGGACCAATTATTTCTTTTAAAAAAGACTTTTTTAAAAAATTAATTATCCAATATCAGATAAGTCAAATGTACTTACAAGTTACTACAAGTACCTTTGCTTTCAGAAAATTCTTAAAATATTTTACTAAGCTTCTTATCACATTGAGACCATAATTGAACTAATTTCAGTCATAAGTAACACTCAGAGGAAGGATTTCTATTTTCAATATTAACTCTAAACAAAAATCCAGTGTTTATGGAAAATATCAAATTTTACCTAATATGAAATCAAAGTTCTTTGTATTCACATGTTTTGTTTTCCTGAAATATATCCTGTTTTTATCTTTTTTTAAAAAAATTGAATTGACAAATAATTATATATTTTTATGGGGTACAATGTTATGTTTTCGTATATGTACACACTGTAGAAAGATTAAATCAAGCTGTTTTTTTTCTTTTTAAACATGAGAAAAATCTAATGAAAATGGGGCTAAAAGGGTAGAAGGAAATGAACAACATTTCTAAGATGTCATAAAATAACACAGACTTAAACTTTTTAACAGAGATTTTTCAAGGAGCGGCGGGAGGAGCAAAGACTCTACCTAAATGTCTAAGAATCCAAAAAGTTTTGATATTTTAAGCACTTTAACAAAAAAGGGTTTCTAAGGGTTGGAAGAAAAATTAATGAGCCTTCAGTCATCCTGTCAGGCACTGTTGTAGTAGCAAATGTTTGTCAAATAGAACAAAACCCCTGCCTTCAAGAAGAGGGTCATCTAATAAATTGTACAAAATATTTACAGGGTTCAGTAAAATGTAAAAAGAGTGTGAAACCGATTCTACCAAGGAGTGGGAAGTAAAAGAAAAGAGTTTTAAGAACGACTCTTAAAAGATGATCAGGAGTGTGTCAAGTGAAGGCAGGAGATGGTGAATGGAATGGCATTCCAGATAAATTAAGGATGCACAAAAGCAAAGAAATATGGGCCAGGCATGGTGGCTTATGCCTATAATCCCAGCACTTTGGGAGGCCTAAGTGAGAAGACTGCTTGAGCCTAGGAGTTGGAGATCAGACCAGGTAACATACTGAGACCATGTTTCTACAAAAAAATTTTTTAATTAGATGGACAAAGTGGTGTGTGACTGAAGCCTTGGCTAATCAGAAAGCTGAGGTGGGAGGATCACTTGACCCAGGAGTTCAAGGTTACAGTGGGCTATGATTGTACTACTGCAGTCCAGCCTGTGTGACAGAGAGACATCCTGTCTCTAAAAGAAAAAAAAAAATTAGAAAAAAAAAGAAGAAATATCAAATATCATTCAAATATCATGGTATGAATGGCAAATAGAAAACAACATCACTTTCACCTTCTGATAATGATGGAGTAACTTGTATCTGCTAATCTTTCCATAGACAATAATAAACTCTAGATAAAATACCAAATATATATATATATATATATATATAACTATTTGAATGTACTAAATAACACCAAAAGCTGGCACAACTAGAAGGAAGTCAATCCTTGGAAAAAAAGAGAATGTTAGTAGGTAGGACTCAAGGGTATAAGGCTTCCCAGCTGAGGGTACTCCCCAGTCCACACACTATAAGCTAGAACTCAAACAGAAAGTTGTGGTTTTACCGGCTTGTTGACCAGTGTTGACCGGCTTGAGGAGTCAACAAAGTTTGGTACTGCTAGAACAGCTGTAAAGTGAGAGGGGCATCCAAAAAGGAGAGAGCCAAAATAAAAAAATACAGCAAAATCTAGTGTATAAACTTGTTTGCCCAAATTCTTGGCTGTCCTCTAAACTGTAAAGATGCAAAGGAGACTACGACAGATGGAAAGCAAAAGAACTGAGCAGAGATTTCAGCTAGTGTCCACAAGAGGGGAGACAGAGTTTGCATTTTGAGGCTAACCAAGTTAAATACTTGCTTGAATAAAAATCAAACCTTTTATAGGAAGATAACAGAATACAGAGCCTCAAGAAGGAATCTATGATGCTTAGAATACATTTACAAAATGACTAGATATGTTAAAAGCGGGGGTGGAGGTGGGGGTGGGGGGTGTGACTCAAAGTTAAGAGAAAAGACAATCATTAGAAACTGAGCCTGATATGACTAAAAGTTCAAATTACCAAATAAGGACTACACTAGCAAATGAGCAGCTACTATCAAGATGGTCAAGGATCTAAAGGAAAATATAATCATAATGAGTGAACAGATGGGACTATCTCAACAGAAAAATTATAAAAGAAAATTTTGAAATAAAAAAGTACAACATCCAAAATGAAAAACTCACTGTTTATCATCAGATTGCTAATAGCAAAAGAAAGGGTCAGTGAACATTAAATCAATAAAAATAATCCTGACTAGACAGAGGAAAACAATGGTTAAAAAATTAAACACAAAACAAAAAATAAAAACAAATAAAAATAAACAAAGCCTCAGTTCTGTGGGACAAAATCAATTTGTCTAACATTGTGTCCCAGAAGAAAAAGTGAAAGAGGTAGAAAAAATTTTAAGAAATAAAAGCCAAAAGCTTCCCAAATTTGATATAAAAAACAAAAAAAACATAAACTTACAAATCCAAATGGCTCAGCAAATCCCAAGCAGGAAAAATACAAAAAACCACATTTAAGCATATCATAATCAAACTGCTTAAAACCAATGATAAAGAGAAAATCTTGAAGGCAGCCAGGGAAGAAAAAAGAGAATAAGGCTACAAGTGACAGTTAACTGTTCATCAGAAACAACAAGGCCAGGACAGAGTGGAACAGTATCTTCAAAGTCTTTATACTATTATTAAGAAACAGCTCTTGTGATGTTTTACATACGGACATTAATGATTAAGTAGGTTTGAATATAAGACTTTCAAATAATTGAAGTACAGGAACTTGTCCTTTGGAAGTCCTCCAACTCAATCAGATTGAGTGTACTGTTTTCTAGGAAAAGCTAAGAGTCTTGTTTTAAATACTTTATTATTTTGCTTTGCTAAGCTCCTACCAATGAAAATACACTAAAAATTTCAGATAAAAGTCTTACCTTTTTTTGTCAAATTTTTCCATACATTCTAGAGGCTGAATGAACTGAAGAACTTCATCCCATTGACCATCAAGGATTAGTTGTCTAAATAAAGAAAAACGTAGCATGTTACCAAAATTCAGGTTACACTAATTAAAAACAGAACAGATGACAAAATAACATTAAAACTTCACAAATCACATGAGATTAACATTTTATTTGGTTCCCCAAAACTAAAACAAAAGTTTTCACAACTTATTTATAACAACATATGAGAAAAATTTGTGAATCTACAACCACTCCTCACACTAATGTATATGTGGTTTTTGACCTATGTACAAACATTGAACTAAGCCTAAAAGTTCTTTTATTTCCCTATTGATCTTTCAGTTTTAAAGCTATTATGTATTATTACTTATGTGTGTGTGTGTGTGTTCTATTTTCATTAAATCGACTGAGGGTGATTTTGTACCACCACTCCCTGGGACACTTGGCAATATCTAGAGATACTTTTATTTTTGGTTGTTGCAAGTAAGGGCACTACTCATATCTAGTGGGTAGAGGCCAGAGATGCTGCTAAACCTCCTACAATGCAGAGGACAACCCTCAACAACAAAGAATTATCTGGCCCAATATTAATATGGGGCCAAGGCTGAGAAACTGCTCTAAATTGTAAATTTTACAGGTTTGAGAAATTTGATACTAAAGTTTATACCCTGATAATGAAAACAGCAAGAAATAAGAACAAGTTTCATCATACTTTAAGTAGTCTATGGGAATTTCCAAAAGTTGCAAGGCATTCGTTTTTGTTTTTGTTTGTTTGTTTGTTTTTTGAGACAAGAGTCTCGCTTTGTTGTCCAGGCTAGAGTGAGTGCCATGGCGTCAACCTAGCTCACAGCAACCTCAAACTCCTGGGCTTAAGCAATTCTTCTGCCTCAGCCTCCCAAGTAGCTGGAACTACAGGCATGCGCCACCATGCCCGGCTAATCTTTTCTATATATTAATTGGCCAATTAATTTCTTTCTATTTATAGTAGAGACGGGGTTTTGCTCTTGCTCAGGCTGGTTTTGAACTCCTGGCCTCCAGCAATCCGCCCGCCTCAGCCTCCCAGAGTGCTAGGATTACAGGCGTGAGCCACCTCACCCAGCCTAGGACAGTAAAATTTTAAAAGGGAGGAATCGGCAGGAGGACCTACAAAGGATTACCAATTTTTTATTTGGCAAAAAAGGAATACTAACAAAAGCAATCACAATATGTATGATAATCATTTATGATTATCATCATAATCAAGGATACTTTAACATTTAAAAAGTAAAAAAGACACAATTTTAAAGTCTAGCTCATTTAGTTTAATGAAAAAGTTACTATTCTTTTTTTGTTGTTGTTTTTTGAAACAGGGTCTTGCTCTGTCGCTCCAGTTAGAGTGCAGTGGCGTCATCATAGTTCATAGCAACCTCAAACTACTGGGCTCAAGCACTCCTCCTGCCTCAGCCTCCCAAGTAGCTGGGAGTACAGGCATGCGCCACCATGCCTGACTAATTTTTCTGTTTTTGGTAAAAACAGGCTCTCACTCTTGCTCAGGCTGATCTTGAACTCCTGAGCTCAAGTGATCCTCCTGCCTCAGCCTCCCAGAGTGCTAGGATTACAGTTATGAGCCACCGCACCTGGCTTGAAAAATGTACTATCCCATAATTCTTTGCACTTCACTTCAAACCAGTAAAACTTCATCACAGACTAACAGGCTCCTGGAAAGTACTTGAGAGCTACTGCCAAATTCCAGGAGTAGAAATGTTTGAAAGACAGGGCCAAAAGAGTACTACCTCAGTACTGGTTCCTAGCTATACCATTGACTAATCTCCCTGGAGCTAGATGATATTCATAACACAAAATACAGGGAAATGCAACAAGTTTAAATAAATTTCTCTAATATAATAAATGTTTGGTTTGGGTTTTTTTTTTAAGTTCCTTTATCATGAGTTAGGAACACTTTATTTCTTAAAGCTTTCCAAGTCACAAAACACCACTTGTCCAAGAATCTGTACTCCTTGTCAAGGATATTTGGTATCATATAAAAATAGAATACGTTTCTGCCTGTGAATTTGGGATTTTATTTTTCCATCCAAGCTAAGATATATTTAGTTTTCCATTTTGGCAAACATTTATTCCCTTTGCCTTGCAATTCCACCTCTAAGAATCTTGTCCTAAGGAAATAATCCAACATACAGGAAAAGACTCATGTATAAAAGATGCTCTGTAAAGCAATTATTTAAGAAAAATTGGAACCAATTGTCTAAAAATAGGGGAACCATTAGGAAATAAAGTAAACTGAAAATTTTAAAGTATGTCACATCTGTCCAGAAAGTATCCAACCATGTAATATGAAAAATAGAGACATTTATTGAAGATATAAGATACAAAAACACTGTACATAGGATGATGCCTCAGATGCCTTCAAAGTAAGCACCTTGGCACTTCACACAATTCCCTTAACCTAACCTATACACATTTAACATTCTCAGGTGCTCTGCTTGTTGCAAGCCTTCCAGAACATGAATCACTTTCAAGATTCTCAACCATTCTTTTTTTTTTCTTTCTTTTCTTTTATGGCTTGTTGGATCTTGACCATCTTTGAAGCATTTGTGCCATACTTTTATTTGCACTGCATTCATTGCATCATCTCTGAAAACCTTCTGAATCATCTGAATAGTTTCTGTGGAGGAATGTTCAAGCTCAACACAAATTTGATGCAGATTCATTGCTCTACTTAATCAGTCATTTTGAATACAATGGCCACACAGTACACACACTCACTCAATGGCACCTAGCACCCCACTGACTAGCAGTACAGGAAGTCATCATTGTTCACACATGCGCATTACAGTCCACTCCTTTGGCTGCCAGGTTACATCAATGTTGCACAAACCATTCTTCTATTAACCATGGCTGGATACTTTCTGGAGAGATGCTGTATATTTGTAATTCCATAGAGAATTCTTGTGATATGGATAAAACAAGATTCTAAATTATAAATACAACAGAATTGCTGTTATTTTTTTTTTTTTGTTATTTTTTAATATGTACAGAAATTATCAGTAGTGTGTCTGGGTGGTGACGTGATTTTTGTTTTCTTTATTTTTCTGTTTTCTATAATGAATATATTTTATTTCTATGGCCAAAAAATAGTACCATTTATTAAGCCAGTCTGTTGCATAAAAAAAAAAAATAGTACCATGGAAATATTTTCTTTATCCTTCCAGAGTCTGATTTTTTAGCCAAATATTTTTTATGATGATGCCACAATCACAATGGAGTTATGACTCTTGTTTTGTTAATAGACCTCTTGACTTACTACTGAAAACATTCTACAGAAAACATTATTTTGTAAATGTCCCGTCTATCTTTACTATATATGTTGCCTTATTAATACTTTACTTTTCTTTGAAGGAGCTACAAACCTCACAGTATTAATGAAATCATACCTCAGGAAAAGCATATCATCTGAAAATAGGCCATTTATGACTCCACTTTCCTTCTCAAGGGCCAACATACTAATATGAAGCTTCTTTGAATTCAGGAAGTCCAAAATTAGCTTAATGATTTCAACCTCTTTTACATTCACTGTTTCTTCAGCCGTCATATTGATAGCCTAAATATGAAACAGAACAACCACCACCAAAAAGTTAGTCCTATTGTTTTATGTTTAACTGCCTGGAAACTACACATAACAGGTTTCTTGAGAATTTTTAGTATAGATATTTTGAAATGAAAGTAATTTATCAAAATCAAGTCATTCTTTAATGTGTGATTTTTTTATAAAGTCCTTACCTTTGAGAGATACACAATGGAATAGTTACAGATTAAATGATATCAAGTCTGTGATTTGCTTCAAAATAATATAAGAAGAGGGGAGTGGAAGAGACAAAGATGAAACAAGAACGATCATGACCTAGCACTCTGGGAGGCCCATGTGGGAGGATTGCTCAAGCTCAGGAGTTCAAGACCAGTAAGAGCAAGAGAAAGACTCCATCTCTACCAAAAAAATAGAAAAAATTAGCCGGTTGTGGTGGTGTTTGCCAGTAGTCCCAGGTACTCGAGAGACTGAGGCAGGAGGATCCATTGCTTGAGCCCAGGAGTTTGAGGTTGCTGTGAGCTAGGCTGACGCCATGGCACTCTAGCCCAGACCACAGAGCAAGACTCTGTCTCAAAAAAAAAAGGAAAAAAATCTAAGTGTCTCAATATTTCCAAACTAAATGGCAGATTTTTAAAAAATCATAAAAATACAACCATGGGCTTTCCTTTAAGAAGTAAATTTCCCTACTAAGTGAGTATCTCAAGAATGGAAAAACAAGCACCACATGTACTCACCAGCAAATTGGTATTAACGGATCAACACCTAAGTGGACATACAGGAGTAACATTTATCGGGTTTCGGGAGGGTGGGAGGCAAGAGGAGGGGATGGGTATATACAACCACAACGAGTAAGATGTGCAATGTTTGGGGGATGGACACGCTTGAAGCTCTTACTCGAGGGGGGAAGGGGGCATAGGCAATATATGTAACCTTAACACTTGTACCCCCGTAATAAGCTAAAATAAAAAAATTAATAAAAATAGAAATAAATAAATAAAAAGAAAGAAAGAAGAAAAAGAAGTAAATTTCCCTTATATCCAGTATCTGGACTATGTGAAGTAAAGAAGAGTTTATTTAAAAATAAGGATATCTTGGGACTGCAAACTAGTTCAACCTCTGTGGAAAGAAATATGGAGGCCAGGCGTGGTGGCTCACGCCTGTAATCCTAGAACTCTGGGAGGCCGAGGTGGGCAGATTGCTCAAGGTCATGAGTTCGAAACCAGCCTAAGTGAGACCCCCGTCTCTACTAAAAATAGAAAGAAATTAATTGACCAACTAAAATATATACACAAAAAATTAGCCGGGCATGATGGCGCATGCCTGTAGTCCCAGCTACTGGGGAAGTTGAGGCAGGAGGATCGCTTGAGCCTAGGAGATTGAGGTTGCTGTGAGCTAGGCTGATGCCTTGGCACTCAGTCTAGCCTGGGCAACAGAGTGAGACTATGTCTCAAAAAAAAAAAAAAAAAATATGGAGATACCTTAAAGCGATACAAGTGGATCTACCATTTGATCCAGCAATCCTATTACTGGGCATCTACCCAAAAAACAAAAGTCACTCTATGAAAAAGACACCTGCACTCAAATGTTTATAGCAGCACAATTCACAATTGCAAAGATGTGGAAACAACCCAAGTGCCCATCAATACATGAATAGATTAATAAAATGTGGTATATGTATACCAAGGAGTACTATTCAGCTATAAGAAACAACAGTGATATAGCACCTCTTGTATTTTCCTGGATAGAGCTAGAACCCATTCTATTAAGTGAAGTATCCCAAGAATGGAAAAATAAGTACCACATGTACTCACCACCAAATTGGTATTAACTGATCAACACCTAAGTGGACATGTAGGAGTAACATTTATCGGGTGTTGGGCAAGTGGGGGGGAGGGGATGGGCATATACATACATAATGAGTGTGATCCACACCAACTGGGGGATGGACACGCTTAAAGTTCTGACTTGAGGAGGGGAGCAAGGGCAATATATGTAACTTTAACATTTGTATCCCCATAATATGCTGAAAAAAATAAAAAAAATAAGGATATCTGTCTTATTGGTATAATTCAGTTCTTGAAACATTCTAAAAAAAGAAAGGAAAAACAAAGATATCTGGAAACCAGTTAGAAAGTAATTAATATTTTAGTCCTTAGATACAAGAAGTTTACTGAAAATAAATTTCATATGGGGTCTCTATGTGGACTCCTACTTATTATCTTAGTGAAACAAGATTAGAAGAATGTATTATAGGGCAATAAATAAAATTATTTTTAGAAATTTAAGATTAAGGGTAAAATGTTAACAACAGATAAGAGGCTGGGCACAGTGGCTCATGACTGTGATCCCAGCACTTTGGGAGGCCAAGGCAGGAGGATCACTTAAGGCCAGGAGTTCAAAAGAGTCTGGGCAACATAGTGAGACCCTGTCTACAAAAAATTTTTAAAATTAGCTGGTGTGATGGCATGCACCTGTAGTCCTAGCTATTCACGAGGTTATGGCAGTAGGATACTTTGAGGCCAGGAGTTCAATTGCACCACTGCACTCCAGCCTAGGAGACAGTGAGAAGAAAGAAAAGAAAGTGAAGAAGGGAAGAGAAAGAGAGGGAAGGGGAGGGATAGGATGGGTAAGGGGATGAGGAGGGGGAGGGGAGGAAGGGGAAGAGAGGAGAGGGAAGGGAAGGGAAAAAAAGAAAGAAAAAAAAAGGTGATAAAATATTGTTACTCTATATTTTCATACATAGATATGAAAAAAGTTTCATGAAAAGAAATCATGATAGCTTTCTAACCAAATATAAACAGATATGATTTGAATGTTCTTTTGCAATGAGGTTACTCACTCAAAATACAGATTAGGAAGGAAGAAAAATACACCAGGCAAAGAATAATTACAAGCATAAGAGTAAGAGAATTAGGGCACGGTCATTATAAATTTTTTCTTTTTTTAATCTTGAAATTTTAGAAGCCATTATAAATTTTATTGTCATGAAAGAAGTGCTTAAGAAAGGTTCTCTCAATCTCCAAGTCCATCCCACACAATAAAAACCGCTCTTTTTAATCTTCCAAGTATTACAGAGTGCCTAATACTGAACAATTGAAGTTTACAGGCAAAAATGCAGACAAGAAAATGATGTGCTATAAAGTTTTCCAATAAAACATCAAACTGCAACATACATAGGACTACTGCACCTTTTCCTTTTTAAACAATGTGAAAAACTGGGAGTGGTGGCTTATTTCTGTAATCCTAGCACTCTGGGAGGTGGGAAGATCACTTGAGGCCAGGAGTTCTAGACCAGCCTGGGCAAGACCTCATCTCTACAAAAAATAGAAAAATTAGCAGGGTGTGGTGGCACAAGCCTGTTGTGCCAGCTACTCTGAAAGCTGAGGCAGGAGGATCACTTGAGCCCGGGAGTTGGAGGTTGTTGCAGTAAGCTGTGATCATGCCACTGCACATCAGTCTTGGCAACACAGTGAGACTTTGTCTCAAAAAATAAATGAATGAATAAATGAAAGAAAAGAAAAAATGTGAAAAAAATTTTGCTAGCTATGTTTTTAATAATATGGCATTTCAAAAACTTATGTTGCTGCCAGCTCATTTAATTTTAAATGTCTGGTTCTTTGGGAATCCACAGTTGATACTGCAAGTCACTTAACCACTATGGGCCTCAATTTCTTCACACATAAAGTAAGAGGGTTAGTTTGTCTCATTTCTATGATTTCCCTTCAAATTATATAATTTGCTTTAAACTCACTTTTAATAGGAAATATACATTTTTGGGGGTGGGAAATATCAAGTGTGGGATATTCAGAAGTCTATAATTTATAAGGTCAGTTTAATAAGAGGAAAGAAAATGGATTTGCTTTAGATCATTTAAACAAACAAAAGAAAAGCCCTTCTAACTGCAAAGCTGTCATGTCTGCTAATCACCTAACATGTATAACATAGATGCAGCATGTGCTCCTTCTTACAGTTGACAGCTGTTCTCTATTCATCAATTATTTTAATTTACCTTCTGGAACTGTGAATGATTTTTGGCCTGAAGAAACAAATTATGTTTAAAGCAGGTGCACCTTTATATAACTATAAAAAGAAAAGAATTCAATTAATATGAACTGTATCTTGTATGTGCATAAAATATCTCTGGAAAAAGACACAAGAATTAGTAATAACGGTTGTGTCCAAGACGGAAAACTAGATAATTAAAAAATAAGAATAGGAAGACAACTTTTCACTCTATACTCTGAATTTTGTACCATGTACAAATATGACCTATTCAAAAAATTAAAAAATAATGAAACAGAAAACATAAGTAACTAATTTCCAATTGCAAATTATTGGAAGGAATTAGTAAATTAATGTATATAATGAATGTATGTATTTCAAAAAGATTGGTATTTTTTCCTATAACCCAAGACCTCTTCTCAGATCTGATTTAAATATTATTTCAATTCTTCTTTATGAGATTAAAGTATTTGTCTTCTTTCTATATTCAAATCCACAATTATATGCTATATTACTGAAGTACTAAAATTTCACAAGATAAACAATAATTATTATTTGACTCAGACTGCTCAATTAAATCACATAACCCAGAAAAGGTAAGTAACTTTTAGCATCAACTTTGACACTAAACATGTAAAATATAAATCTTCCATTCAACAGAACTTGCCCACAAAATTAAAAGACAAGGGACAAACATAGGATTAAATACAACACACATAAAGAGTTAAATGGTTACCATCTAGAATATATAAATAGAATCTTCAAATCAATACCCTCAAAAAAATTCCAGTTGAAAAATGAGCAAAGAATACAGACAGACAATTCACCAAATTACAAATAACCAATAAATGTATGAAAAGATGTTCAACCTCAATAGCAGTTTTACAAGGCACCAACATGCTCATTTCCGCAGTACTCATACTAAAACAAGGTACCATTTGCAGCCTGCTACTTTTACAAAAATTAAAAAGATCTGATAGTATCTAGTGTAGGCAAGAATCTGGGTAAATGCC